TGCGAGCCCTATGTGACATATATGGGCACAACAGGATCCTGAATGAATGAATGTATATGAAATACAGTCATATAGTAACAGAGGATGGTAAATGTGAAAACAGAAATGAAGATGAAATAGGGATATGTTGGTTTTATTCAATAACATGAGTTATAATTCAGGGTCACCCTTGCATTTTCCTGCACAGACACAGGTCTGAGGTGAATCCCCAAACTGAGAACTAGCTGCACACACATCTAACTCACAAAGCAAGGTGGAGACAGATATGCTCAGTATGGAGTGGCAAGCATTGCTGCAGAGGTCCCGTGTAGTTAGTGTGGATATTTTCGTTAGCTGATACAGGTGTTAGTTAGTCAACAGAGTATCCTCATTGCACATCAAACCATTCAGTCCATAAGTGCTCAGATCCCCTCCTCAGTAAATCCAGCAGCTCACAACACCAGTTCTGTGTTTGTTTCTGATTCTTCTTTAGCTTCTTGCACAGCGCTTTTGTCTGGCCACACCCCTTTTAACATGTTGTTCTTGCAATCTAGTCATGGTTGCAGATTTGCAGATTCACAGCCATCATCTGGTAAATGTCTTACTTCTTGTAGAGCATTCAGTATATCAGCATGATCCATGGCCCGTCTACCCACTAAGATAACTATACCTGCAAGCCTATTAGCTTGCTCACTTCCTTGGCCACCTGTATGCCCAGGCACAATGCAGGTGTGTTGGGAAATCAACAGACAGACAGCCTGGCCCTCAGACTACAATACACACTGAAAGTGCTCTCTCTTTGGCAACCTGAAAACTCAAACCTGGCACAGGACTACAAAACTGGAAGACAAACCAACACACAAATGTGATGACTTACTGTTGACAACTAGATTCATTATGGTGCCTCATTTCAAAAAGAACATATACATTTACAAATGTTTATGTAAAATAAAATAACAACAAAACATATTCTAGCAGTGCCTTTTCCCCACCTATTGAGTTTTCAGAAAATAAGAACAGGCTTCACATATATTATTTCTTTAAGACGAATTGAACTAGACTTATTTTTAGGTTGCGGAAGGAGTGGGGTGGGGAGGGGAGTGGCAGCAGCTTATTTTTCAGATACAAAAAAGTCCTGCCATTAGCTCTTTTTTGCCCCACTCATCTTTTCTCGGCATCAACAGTAAGGTATATGTAAAATACTGTAAAGGATCCTTTTCCGCGCCTTCGGGCATATAGGGCTAGACCTATATTTTATAGACCAATCTGCACTTGGTGGGTGATGTGGTCAACATGCCAGCTGCCTTTACATCCCAGGATTTGAGCTGGTACCCATTCAAGGCTGGCTCGACTTGGTAAAAACTCACAATCAAAATAAACTGGGGACTGAGAGAAAATAATAATTAAAATAAATTAATCACAGTAATGTGTTGTGTCACATAAGAGGCGTAATTAAAAACAATAGCAAGTATGGAAAATTTTCCAGGGCTAATCACCTTTATACTGGTTATGCTGTCACTGTTGTTGCTGCTGCTCAGCAGTAGTAGTAGTCGATGATTTAATTTCACTAGAGAGAATTCAAAAGCCTGGAGAGAATGAGGCACCTGGGTGTAACCAGAGGGTCTGGCAGGCTCACTACCCTCAGCAGAAAGGCAAGGCAGACATATAACCAGACTGTGACAGGTACCATCAGTATTGGAACTCTGCACTGGCTGCTGAAGATGAGGATGGAGCACACATGGGAATGCCACGAGTGCTGTGATGTCAATTCTTGACTCAACTCAACTCAGTTTCACTGCAATCAGGTCACCCCATACTTGCTTCCATTCCTGTGCCAGTGAAAATCAAATGCAATTTCCTTCACCGTCACATTTGAAACACTGGCGAGCATACAGTTAGTCCAGGCACAATCCAGAAATATGCAAATACAATAAATGCATAAGGCAGTTGCTAAAGGTTCCACAGCTAACAGTCACCACCAGAAATACAGTTTGCCATTTGTGGAAGCAGTCAGTCACGACAAATAGGCCATATACATGCAAAATTTGTTACATAAGGTATGGCGCCAGCTCACAGGTAAACCGGCTACTAGCCATATTGAATACCACAACTCAACCAATGAAAGGCATTCTGGCATGAAAAACAGCGCAAAGTGCTACATTAAAAACTTAACTCAGTAGATTAGGCAGCGAAACCGCAGACTTCCGTCCATATATAGAAACTGCATAAGCAAAACTCTGTCAGAAGCAAAAATAACTCTTAAACTAAACATTCTGCAGTGCCTAGTCCTTCTTATTGGGCTGGAAGTCCTGGTTATAATATACTTTCCGGGGCCCTATTATATGGAAATCAATAGACAAACTGCCTACCCAAAAGCATGTCGTAAGAGTCGACTAATTGGGAGTTTCCTTTAAAGTCGGAGTGCATCTGCCTGAGAGGCAAGGAACCAGCAGTCTGCATACAAATGAGTCAGATCTGTAAAAAGCATGCACACATAATATTCGGGAACAGGACTGCAGTTCAGAAGTGGATAACAACCGGAAATCTCCGCCAGAGTTTACAGCTGGTGAACGCGAAGAAGAAGAAGAATATACTTAGAAGCCAACTTTTAGTGCACAGAAGCTAAGAAGCAAGACACGAAGAAATAGGTGAAAAAGAGGAAGAAGAAAAAGGAGGAGGATTAAGAGGAGAAGAACATGAACAAAGAGGAAACAGAAGAATATGAAGGAAAAGAAGACGAAAACAGAGAAAAAGAAGAAGAAAAAGAAGAAGTAGAAGAAGAGGAGGAGGAGAAGAAGAAGATGATGCAGCAGCAACAGCAAAAAGACACTGTCAGATAAATGTTACTATCTGTTTGAGGTACATTACATGTTTACATCTTCAAACACAAACAACAATCACACCCAAGATAGCCAAATCAGTAGAAAAGTACCAAACTTCCAAAACCCACATGGCAACAACTGCAATGGTACAATTCAAATGCAATACCACTAGACACTTTACAACATAGTAATTAATGTAAGAGCACTTTTTGCAAAACAGCAAACTATATGTACAGTAAAAGTAACACCCATTTATATGTATGTATGTATGCACATGTACGTACGTAAGTATGTATGGTGGTAAGTACATATATGACTGTATGTATACATATATATGTATTTATGTATGTACGTCTGTATGTATGTATGTATGTATATATGCACACATGTATGCATGTACATACATACATGCGTATGTAGGTAAGTACACATATGTATGTACATATACATATATATGTATAAGTATTTATGTATGTATGTATATGCCATGTATGTATGAATTATGTATGTGTGTATGTATATACATACATACATGGCATATACGTATGTTGTATATGTATACGTACGTACATACATAAATGGCACATATGTATGTAAGTACATATGTATACATATATATATATATATATATATATATATATATATATATATATATATATATATATATATATATATATATATATATATATATATATATATATATATATATATATATATATATATACGAAGCTGCAGGCCTCGGAAATGAGATATCTGAGAAAGGTGGTCCAAGTGACAAGAAGGGACAATGTCCGCAATCAGATAATATGTCAAGATCTGGATACCCAGTCCTTACAAACCCGAGTGGATCAGTCACAGCTACGATGGTTTGGACATGTATGCAAAATGGGAGAAAATCGCCACTGGGAAGACAACATCCAACAGTCCCCAACTGACAGAGGACTGGAATGGAACAAAGCCAGGAAGAAAACTGCGGATAGAGACGTCTGGCGATCTCTCTGGCAAACCTCTACACCCCAAGGTAGAAGAGGAGCGACTAAGTAAGTAAAGTATATATATATATATATATATATATATATATATATATATATATATATATATATATATATAATATAATCAAAGTAAACCTATTTTTTTCAACAACATGTGACATTACCATCTAAAGAGATAAATCATCACCATCAAGTGCCTTGCCATCTGGTACTGGCGATTATGTCTCCTACAATCTGCTATCTGCAACAGCATGTACCAGTTCGTGTGCTGACACCCCTCCACGACAGGACAAAAGGTTGTCAAGAATCTTCTTGTGCTGTCCTCCCCTGTCTCTCTTTCCACAGATCTTTCCTGTGGTCACAATATGTTCCAGTTTCCCGCTTCTCATAACATGTCCCAAAAACTGATGACTGTCTCTTTTTGATGTTTGTGAGTGAGATAAATAATGATTAAAAATAGTGATTTTTCTATATAATCTCTGTCCGATACAATTACCTAACTGCAATAAGAAAGAAGGGCACACAGGCCTTGTCTGATTTTGTCAAGCTCACGTTTCCAGTTCTTCACAGCATGAATTACATTCCATCCTCTTCCTGAAGCTTTAAATCTCTCAACCCAGCTACTTACGGTGCTCCTATTGACTCCATAATCTCCACACACAAATATTTATGAAAGTTCACCAGTTTTTCCCTCCTCACAAACCAGAAATTTTACAACAATGTGCTGCTTGGCGTTGCACATTTTCCTCACCTTCTATTTAAATGGATTAATGCAGCTGCTCCTTGTCTGCAGGAATCAGCTACCATTTGATACACAAATACAGATATTTTAAACCTAAAGCATGCACAATTTCATGTTTCTATCTTCATTATTCTTTGACACAGAAACATGTGGGCCATTACTGAATAAGATGGATCAGCAACATTAAAGATAATCTACGCCGTCACGGCATGACAACAGCCAGCATGCACTGGATCACAAACTATTCCTCCCCACGACGCTTAACGGCAGAAGTGGGTTATGATGATGATAATGATGACTTTATGAATGCCCTTCATAAAAAAAAAAAGTAAATTAACATATTACAAGATGGCTGGAATTCATGAGGATGAGCCAATCAAATATCACAAGGTCGTGACTAAGATAAAAAAAAAAAGAATAACGAAATGGCCTTAGAGGTTTCTCATTGGTTGCCGTATGTAGTGTTTATTCCTCGACTGTGATGGTGAGGCCACTTTCATCAACAACTGCGTCATACACTACAGCTTCCAAATCCTGGGGAAATAGACCAACAACATCAGTTATTAGTTAGTTGAATCCCCATGTGGGTTCTGGGGCCCCATTGTGGGGAAAACAAGAATAAACCCACTACCTTCCCAACAAGCATGTTGTAGGAGTGAACTAATTGTGGGCTTTAATCTAAATTGGAGTGCATCTGCCCGAGTGGCAAGAAACAACCAGCTGCACACAAATAAGCCAGTAAAATGGATGTACATGCAAAACTCAGGCCCTGGCATAAAGCTAAAGTCCAAATGGATGAACAATCAGGACCTTCCGTCGGAGCTTACAGCCAGGAAGCAAAGAAGAAGAAGAAGAAGAAGCCAGACAAGAGCGCTACACAGAGGCCCAAAGAAGAATATTAAACCAACGCAGAACTGGTGTCATAAGCCACTACACACTGAGAGAGATACCGACGAGGAAATATCAGCACTTATGGACTGAATGGCTCTATGTGTGATGATGATAATTTGTCAACTAACTAACTAAATGGAACCCACAGGGTCATAGAAAAAAGAGAAAAAGAGACCAAAAACACATAGAGAAGGGAGATAAAGGATGAAGTTAAAAAAGATGGGGAGAAAAACACAGCGCAAAGTGCTACATTAAAAACTTAACTCAGTAGATTAGGCAGCGAAACCGCAGACTTCCGTCCATGTTTAGAAACTGCATAAGCAAAACGCTGTCAGAAGCAAAAATAACTCTTTAACTAAACATTCTGCAGTGCCTAGTCCTTCTTATTGGGCTGGAAGTCCTGGTTATAATATACTTTCCGGGGCCCTATTATATGGAAATCAATAGACAAACTGCCTACCCAAAAGCATGTCGTAAGAGTCGACTAATTGGGAGTTTCCTTTAAAGTCGGAGTGCATCTGCCTGAGAGGCAAGGAACCAGCAGTCTGCATACAAATGAGTCAGATCTGTAAAAAGCATGCACACATAATATTCAAGAACAGGACTGCAGTTCAGAAGTGGATAACAACCGGAAATCTCCGCCAGAGTTTACAGCTGGTGAACGCGAAGAAGAAGAAGAATATACTTAGAAGCCAACTTTTAGTGCACAGAAGCTAAGAAGCAAGACACGAAGAAATAGGTGAAAAAGAGGAAGAAGAAAAAGGAGGAGGATTAAGAGGAGAAGAACATGAACAAAGAGGAAACAGAAGAATATGAAGGAAAAGAAGACGAAAACAGAGAAAAAGAAAGAAGAAAAAAGAAGAAGTAGAAGAAGAGGAGGAGGAGAGAAGAAGAAGATGATGCAGCAGCAACAGCAAAAAGACACTGTCAGATAAATGTTACTATCTGTTTGAGGTACATTACATGTTTACATCTTCAAACACAAACAACAATCACACCCAAGATAGCCAAATCAGTAGAAAAGTACCAAACTTCCAAAACCCACATGGCAACAACTGCAATGGTACAATTCAAATGCAATACCACTAGACACTTACAACATAGTAATTAATGTAAGAGCACTTTTTGCAAAACAGCAAACTATATGTACAGTAAAAGTAACACCCATTTATATGTATGTATGTATGCACATGTACGTACGTAAGTATGTATGGTGGTAAGTACATATATGACTGTATGTATACATATATATGTATTTATGTATGTACGTCTGTATGTATGTATGTATGTATGTATATATGCACACATGTATGCATGTACATACATACATGCGTATGTAGGTAAGTACACATATGTATGTACATATACATATATATGTATAAGTATTTATGTATGTATGTATATGCCATGTATGTATGAATTATGTATGTGTGTATGTATATACATACATACATGGCATATACGTATGTTGTATATGTATACGTACATACACACATAAATGGCACATATGTATGTAAGTACATATGTATACATATATATATATATATATATATATACGAAGCTGCAGGCCTCGGAAATGAGATATCTGAGAAAGGTGGTCCAAGTGACAAGAAGGGACAATGTCCGCAATCAGATAATATGTCAAGATCTGGATACCCAGTCCTTACAAACCCGAGTGGATCAGTCACAGCTACGATGGTTTGGACATGTATGCAAAATGGGAGAAAATCGCCACTGGGAAGACAACATCCAACAGTCCCCAACTGACAGAGGACTGGAATGGAACAAAGCCAGGAAGAAAACTGCGGATAGAGACGTCTGGCGATCTCTCTGGCAAACCTCTACACCCCAAGGTAGAAGAGGAGCGACTAAGTAAGTAAAGTATATATATATATATATATATATATATATATATATATATATATATAATCAAAGTAAACCTATTTTTTTCAACAACATGTGACATTACCATCTAAAGAGATAAATCATCACCATCAAGTGCCTTGCCATCTGGTACTGGCGATTATGTCTCTCTAAAATCTGCTATCTGCAACAGCATGTACCAGTTCGTGTGCTGACACCCCTCCATAACACGACAAAAGGTTGTCAAGAATCTTCTTGTGCTGTCCTCCCCTGTCTCTCTTTCCACAGATCTTTCCTGTGGTCACAATATGTTCCAGTTTCCCGCTTCTCATAACATGTCCCAAAAACTGATGACTGTCTCTTTTTGATGTTTGTGAGTAAGATAAATAATGATTTAAAATAGTGATTTTTCTATATAATCTCTGTCCGATACAATTACCTAACTGCAATAAGAAAGAAGGGCACACAGGCATTGTCTGATTTTGTCAAGCTCATGTTTCCAGTTCTTCACAGCATGAATTACATTCCATCCTCTTCCTGAAGCTTTAAATCTCTCAACCCAGCTACTTACGGTGCTCCTATTGACTCCATGATCTCCCTCCTCACAAACCAGAAATTTTACAACAATGTGCTGCTTTGCGTTGCACATTTTCCTCACCTTCTATTTAAATGGATTAATGCAGCTGCTCCTTGTCTGCAGGAATCAGCTACCATTTGATACACAAATACAGATATTTTAAACCTAAAGCATGCACAATTTCATGTTTCTATCTTCATTATTCTTTGACACAGAAACATGTGGGCCATTACTGAATAAGATGGATCAGCAACATTAAAGATAATCTACGCCTTCACAGCATGACAACAGCCAGCATGCACTGGATCACAAACTATTCCTCCCCACGACGCTTCACGGCAGAAGTGGGTTATGATGATGATAATGATGAATTTATGAATGCCCTTCATAAAAAAAAAAAAAAAGTAAATTAACATATTACAAGATGGCTGGAATTCATGGGGAAGAGCAAATCAAATATCACAAGGTCGGGACTAAAAAAAAAAAAAAAGAAATAACGAAATGGCCTCAGAGGTTTCTCATTGGTTGCCGTATGCAGTGTTTATTCCTCGACTGTGATAGTGAGGCCACTTTCATCAACAACTGCGTCATACACTACAGCTTCCAAATCCTGGGGAAATAGACCAACAACATCAGTTATTAGTTAGTTGAATCCCCATTCTGGGGCCCCATTGTGGGGAAAACAAGAATAGACCCACTACCTTCCCAACAAGCATGTTGTAGGAGTGAACTAATTGTGGGCTTTAAACTAAATTGGAGTGCATCTGCCCGAGTGGCAAGAAACAACCAGCTGCACACAAATAAGCCAGTAAAATGGATGTACATGCAAAACTCAGGCACTGGCATAAAGCCAAAGTCCAAATGGATGAACAATCAGGACCTTCTGTCAGAGCTTACAGCCAGGGAACAAAGAAGAAGAAGAAGAAGAAGAAGCCAGACAAGAGCGCTACACAGAAGCCCAAAGAAGAATATTAAACCAACGCAGAACTGGTGTCATAAGCCACTACACACTGAGAGAGATACCGACGAGGAAATATCAGCACTTATGGACTGAATGGCTCGATGTGTGATGATGATAATTTGTCAACTAACTAACTAAATGGAACCAACAGGGTCATAGAAAAAAACAGAGAAAAAGAGACCAAAAACACATAGAGAAGGGAGATAAAGGATGAAGTTAAAAAAGATGGGGAGAACAAGGAGTGAGCTGCATGCTATGGCAAAGAATAGGATGACCTGGTGTGAGCTGGTTGATGGCCTATGCTCCATTGGGGGATAATGTGCAGAAGGCAGAATTAACTGATGGGTTGGAGAGCGGTTGGTTGGAGAGTTCTCTGAAGACTTAAGACTAATACTTTCAAGTTATTTCAACCACTCGGTCACTTGCCAACCACTCTGTCTCTTGCCAACCACTGTCACTTCACTTGCCAATCACCCTGTCTCTTGCCAACCACTCTTGTCTCTTGCCAACCACTCTGTCACTTGCCAACTACTCTGTCACTTGCCAATCAACCTGTCTCTTGCCAACCACTGTCACTTCACTTGCCAACCACTCTGTCTCTTGCCAACCATTCTGTTTCTTGCCAACCACTCTGTCTCTTGCCAACCCCTCTGTTTCTTGCCAACCACTCTGTCTCTCGCCAACCAATATGTCACTTGCCAACCACTGTTTCTTGCCAACCCCTCTGTCTCTTGCCAGCCACTCTGTTTCTTGCCAACCGCTCTGTTTCTTGCCAACCGCTCTGTTTCTTGCCAACCGCTCTGACTTTTGCCAACCACTCTGTCACTTGCCAACCACTATGTCTCTTGCCAACCACTCTGTTTCTTGCCAACCACTCTGTCTCTTGCCAACCCCTCTGTTTCTTGCCAACCCCTCTGTCTCTTGCCAACCACTCTGTCTCTTGCCAACCACCCTGTCTCTTGCCAACCACTCTGTCTCTTGCCAACCACTATATCACTTAACAACCATTCGGTCACTTGCCAAACCATCGTTTCTTGGGTCAACCACTCTGTCTCTTGCCAACCACTGTGTCTCTTGCCAACTTCCTTGTGAACTTTTAATGTCAGGGTGTCCTTGATCTTCTGACTCTATTGACATGCTTGACAACCCCACCTTTCCGGAATCATACCTTCTGTTACTGTTCTTTCCAAACCATTGTGCTGCCATAATTCTCTATGAATTAGCAGGCAATGCAATGGACACCACAAGGACAGCGAGGAAGAAGCAGACCCCAAAGCACTTGGAGACGAACCTTTGAGGCTGAACTCAAGGCTAGGCGAAGGACAAAACTGGGGATAGAGAGGATGGCTCAGGATCGAATTGAGTGGTGACAGTTTGTCTCTGCTTTATATGCCTCTGGGCGCGATGAGGATTGATTGATTGAATTCTTTCTGAGCCAAGAAAATACTGTCTGATTATTTATGTGTGCCAATCAGTATGTTACATATTTTTTTACATATTATATTGAGTCAAAGAACATATTAATTGATTCCAATCAGAATGCGACCACTATGATATGAAGATCAACGCAGACAAAACAAAAGTGATGACATTCTCCAGAAACGGAAGAACCAACAATATCAAAATTGATGAACACCAGTTAAAAAATGTGAAGGATTTTGCATATCTGGGGAGCATTTTTTTGGAAGATGGAGAAATTAATAAAGAAATCTATCAAAGATGCAAGAAAGCCAATCAAGTTTTATGTCAAATGGCACCAATTCTGAAATGCAAGTATGTGAATATGAACAATAAAAAAATAAAAAAACAATTGTCTAACACAATATTCTTACCATCGCTATGCAATTAATGTCAAACAGGGAGACTGTCTTCAGTAGACAGAAGGAAAATAGTCACGACAGAAATGAAATGCTTACGCACTATGCTAGGTTTAATGAGGAAAGGTCGACTTAGAAATGATGATATCAAGAGGAGAGTTCGCACAAATCCAATACTGAACTTTATAAGTAGACAACAAATCAAATGGTTCGGCTATGTAACAAGAGTGGCATCAGACAGGGCACCACAGAGAGCAATGTTTTACAGACACAGTGGTAACAGAGCCAAAGGTCAACCATATAGAAGATAGACCGCAGAAATATCCAAGACACTGAAAATTACTTTATACGAAGCGAACAGAAGAGACCGTTTCAGAGATATTTTCCTGCCCTGATGCCACAAGACATTCCAGGAACAGACAACAGAAGAAGAGAAAGAAAAATATAAATCCTATGGCTGATAAATAATAATTTAGAATATAAAATGTTGCCCAAAAAAAAAAAAAAAAAAAAAAAAAAGGAGTCACATATTTACCTCTTGCTGTTCCAGAATTTCCCGGACAAATGCATGGAGGTTTGGCTCTTTCATGATCCCGTATATAAACCCTCCGCCGCCGGCCCCTGCACTACTCATGCCGTACATGTACGGCTTCAGCATAGCCATAATCTGTGCAATGGTGACCGACTCACATCCTGGAGCTAACAGCTTCTTCATCTCCCAGTACCGGCTGACACACGACCCCATTATCTCGAAAGCACCTGGACAAAAGAAACATTTGCCGGACATATCTGGATGTATCGCACACAGGTGCACTGCTACAGTTTATATCAACATGTAACACGGCAGACAGACCATCCCCATCCTGAGACTAAGTCGAGGTTTCAACTTCACTGCAATCAGGTCACCCCCTACTTGCTCTGTTCCTGTGCCAGTGAAAATCAAATGAAAAACTTGTGAACGATTAGCCCTGGCACAATTCAGAAACATGCGCATGCAGTAGATGCATATGGCAGTTGCTAGAGGTGCCAAAGCCAACAGTCGCAACCAGAAATGCAGTTTGTCGTTGCTGGACGTAGTCAGGCATGATAAGTTGGCTATACATACGTAGAATAAATACATAAGGTATTTCACCAGCCCACAAGTAAACTGGCTATCAGCCATACTGAATACAACGACTCAACCGCTGCACAAATGAAAAGCATCAACATGAGAAAACACAGCTCAGACAGCTGCACCAAGCACTAAACTCAGTAGCTCAGGCAGAGAAACCGTAGACTACCCTGAGATTGAATGAACATTATTTGCCAGTTAGTTCCCTCATTCTTTACCCTTTACCCCAGCATACCCAGGTATGTAGAACCAGGTGAGGGAGGTTAAGTGCGATTTTGAAATGCTTTCTATCCATTCAGAGTGTATACAACCTGTTGCAAATTTTCTAGAGCACGTTCATGGGGTCAAGTGTTTCCCAACCTGTTTTGTGCTATGCCCCACTAAGCATCATGTGACCTTGAGCTGCGCCCATTTGTCACTTGACATACTGTGACGGACTTTCCGCAACATGAAGGCCTTATCAAGTGCTGGCTGGACACCACTGGTGACCATTTCCAGCATCTGTTGTGATGTCATCCAATTTTTCTTGAACAGAACCAGCCACTGATCACTGGCATCATGAGAGCTAATAGACTGAAATGGTTTGTGACATATTGAAGGAATGTCAGATGACAGAGAAGTAAAAGCTGTGTACACGAGGGAGATGAATGGTCGTAGACCAGGAGGCAGACCAAGAAGATGATGGAGAGATAATATCCAGACAGACCTGCAAACACTTGGTGTCACCAATTGGAAAGAGAAGACCAACCAGAGAGTTGAATGGAGGCGGGTGATATGTTTCTGTAGCATTTCAGTTCAAAAGCTCTGATTGTTTCTTCAGTGACAGAGTAGGAGTCCATGACCCATGTCCAAAATTTATCCTGCAAAAGATATATGATCTCAATATTTGTACTTTAGCTCGCTTGCAGGTGCTGTCCCTGAATGTTGAATTAGGAATCTACATCACAGCACTCCCATAAGTGCTCAGTCTCCATCTTCAGCAGCAAGCCAAGAGTTAGTTAGTTAGTTAGTTAGTTAGTTGGGTTATCATCATTGCACTCCGGACATGTCCATAGGTGCTCAGATCCTCCCCTCAGTATGAATCCCAACGTCCGATGGCTAATAGTACCAGTTCTGTGTTGATTAACAAGTCTTCTGACGTGTCCGGTGTGCGTCTCGTTTTTTGCTGTGCCGATCTTAATTCCCAAGTCTGCCATTCTGGCGAGTGATGTGGATTCACTGCCACCAAAGTCCTCTATCCTTCCCATTTCTCTGAGGGCATTGATAATATCAGCATGATCCATAGGCCGACCGTCGGTAGTGATAGCGGATCCAGCCAGCCTGTCAGCTCTTTCATTTCCATCGACGCCTGCGTGTCCCAGAACAAAAATAAAGGTGACTCCTCGCACAGTGGACTTCTGAATTGATTCAAGCCATTGTCTTCGCACTGAACCTGCCTGAACCCTCCGGATCATACTCATTGAATCACTGAGTATACACACGCGGGTGTATTTTTGTGTTTCAAGCCAGGCAAACGCTTGCGTCACTGCCATCACCTCCATCGTCATGCTGCTGGTTGTCATGGAGAAGGCGCCGTTGGCTTCTTTGACTGTTCTGCCCGCTGAGCGTGCTGTAAATGCCCATGCGCTTCTTCTTTGGCGTATAACGGATCCGTCTGTATAGATTAGTGCATCTGCTTCGTCTGAATTTTCACCGATGAGAGCGTTGACCTCTGCATTAACAGCAACAGGATTCTCTTCTCTACATCGCCTGTTGAGTGTGACAATACAGGAAAATGTACAAATAAACGCCTGAGGCACAGGTATCCATTCAAGAGTTCCAATTCTGATGGTACCAGTAGCCATCTAATTGTATATCCATCTCATCCTTCCCCTGAGTGTTTAGCACTGGCCAGATCCCCTGGTAACTCCTCGCTGCTGTCCCTTAGGTTCGTAGTCACTGGACTGGTAAAGTGAGTCTTTTTCTGCCTTTTTATAAATATATATATACATGTATATATATATATATATATATATATATATATATATATATATATATATATATATATATATAAACATCAAGTGCCTTGCCAGCTGGCGAAGGCGTTCATGCATCTCCACAGAGCTCAGTCTTTAGTGTTCTGGATCAATTCCACTGATGATATTCCTTTATGTCACTGCCTTAAGCCATCCACCATAATTTCTCTTGGTCTGCCTCTGCCTCTTCTACGAGTGATCTGTCCAGTCATCATGATAGTTTACAGTGCTCCTTTTCTCATCACATGACTAAAGAACTTTGTCTGCTTCTCACGCATGCACGCACGCACGCACACACACACACACATACACACACACACACACACATAAACAAACAGACAGACAAACAGATAATATACAAGGTACCAACCGTCCATGAAAGCATGGGAACACTCCTGAGCTAGTCTGACCAGGGAGTCCTCTGTGCTGACGATGTTCGGGTTACGTGCGTACCAGTTCCGTACAACATCCTGTATATATAAGAATGCTAATTATGACTAGACATGCATGTCAAGACACACTGAATAACACAATCATGTTTCTGATTCAAATCCACACAGAATTTGATTCTAATTCTCTAGCCAACATACAGAGTGTGATCAGCAATAATCAGTGCGTATCAAACACAAATGGTGTGTAATTATATATTTTACATTTTGTTTGAGCATGCTAAAGAAATCTGGCTAGACATGCTAACATACAGTACAGTATATGTTGTCTCTTTGACAGTTAATACATTCATGCTCTTTTCATTGCGTCTGTCATCTCTTAACCCTCTTGCTGTTATGTACTCTGTAGCCATTGTTACCACATGCCCGCTAATAATCTCTCCTGTGCTGGAAACTTCTCTACCCTCCAAACTAAAAGATGTGTCCGGGTGAGGGCTATATTTGTACACCTAAAAAAATATTCACCATGGGGATGTGGGTGGTTGACCCAAGTGTTGACAATTCAGATGCACTATGGTGATGATAAGAAACCTCGCCTTCACAGAAAGGAAACATCGGAAACTAGATTTAATTGCCCTGCTAAACTAAGGCTAGTGAAGACAATATATCCTCTGCTAAGTCTACTTTGTTGTTATATATGTAGAGAAACTCCCCGGAGGAACGAGCACACAACAGTAGCCTTCCGATCGTCAGCAGGAATTTTCTTTGAATGTTTTGGGCCCCACTACCTTCTTTACAGGAGGATAGTGCAAGACCCTTTTTATTCTCTAGTCCTCTACTTCATCACTCTACTTTATCTTTTGTACTATTCAACAAACAATGCATCTCTCTGCTTGTTACATTGTACAATACTGGTGTTATTTTCGGTTGTTGTTATCAAGTGATATTCTGGTATAGTTGGTAACACATCTGCCTCACAATCTTGCATTCAACCCCAAACAAACAACTAGAAAACTGAGCAAAAAACCAGAAAACTAAGCAAACAACCAGACAACCAAACAAACAACCAGAAAACTAAGCAAACAACCAAACAAACAACCAGTAAACCAAGCAAACAACCAAACAAACAACCAGAAAACCAAGCAATCAACCAGAAAACCAAGCAATCAACCAGAAAACTAAGCAAACAAACAGAAAACTAAGCAAACAAACAGAAAACTAAGCAATCAACCAGAAAACTAAGCAATCAACCAGAAAACTAAGCAAACAACCAGAAAACTAAGCAAACAACCAGAAAACCAAGCAATCAACCAGAAAACTAAGCAAACAAACAGAAAACTAAGCAAACAAACAGAAAACTAAGCAATCAACCAGAAAACTAAGCAAACAACCAGAAAAACTAAGCAATCAACTAGAAAACTAAGCAATCAACCAGAAAACTAAGCAAACATCCATCCAACCAACCAAGCAAACAACAAACCTGCAGCAAATTCCTGGCCAGCCTTGTCTTGCCAGTATATATCAGCACAAGTCTCTCGTTAAACTTCTCAATGTAGTCTTTGCTGATATTCAGGTCGACGACGTCAACTTTGAGTGGCAGTTTGGCTTCAGACAACCCCAGTCGGACCCCACCAACCAGTCCACCAACCTGATCCTGCCAACCACCACCAGTTGTCAGGAGCTGTTCCAGATACAGAACCTGAGGACGAGAGGAGGATCCAGGTCAGAAGAATAACTGGTTCTTTATTAATATCCTACCCCCAGATGACATCACAGGACAGTCCAGCATTTTGGAGGGTGGTAAGACTGGGTTTTCCTGACTTTCTAATGGTTTTAACGACCCCAAAATATCTAGAACTGGCCCTAACCCCAACCCACTTACGTCCCACGAGAGAGTGTGGCCTAAGTCCCATGACTGCATGCTGCCTAAATCCCACGACTGCTTGCAGCCTTTCTACCAAAACCCTGAAATATTAGACTGTCCCGTGACCTGTGGATTTCCCTGTTTGGGGTAGGGTAGTAATAAAGCACCGAAAAACTTACAGTGTCTAATCAGTCATGGCTCCAACTTCCTTCACTGCCAACCAGACAGGCACAACTGCTGTTGTTCCTGAGCCAATGAAAACCATAAAATGCCCATCACTGTCTCAAGTGAGAACTCAAGACAGCAGTCCCTAGCAAAATCCAACAGCTTGCATGTATTAAATGAACAAGGCAGCATCCAGAGGTGCCAAAACCAACAGTCCGTCACTAGAACTGCAGTTCAATGTTGATAGAAGTGGCAGTCACCACACACCAGCAGGTGCACAGGCACTGAATAAGGCATACTGTCAGATCTGTAGCAACCAGCCACTTTTAAAAATAAGATCTTCATAACCCAAATGAATAACTTCAACATGGTGGTAAGGTAGCATCAAAACTAAAATGCCCCTAAACAAAACACACAACTCCCACCCACCCCCTCCTTTTTTTTCTCCCCAAATACAATAATTACCACCAGTGATTGTCAGAAACTGTTCCACGTAGAGAACCTGAGAATATGAATGAATGAATGAATGAATGAATGAATGAATGAATGAATGAATGAATGACTGAATGAATGAATCAAGAAATGATATCCTTGTACATGGGACATTCCCACACATTCTCTCCCTGCTCAGTTGAGTTGAGTCGAGATTTGACATCACAGCACTCGGGACATTCCCAAGCGTGCTCCCTCCTCATCTTCAGCAGCCAGCGCAGAGTTTGAGTACTGATAGTACCGGCCACAATCTGGTTTCTCCCTCCTCAGCAGCCAATGAAGAGTCAGTATGCTAAAAGTACCAATTACAACCTAATTAAAAGCCCGTCTATATTTTCTCCTCAGTGTAGAATCTCTTTTGGAACTTCCAGTCACCCTCCGCTGATTTAGTCTGCCCATGTATAGATGCTTTGTCTGTTCTGCAGTACAGTTCATACTATTGCATAGAGAGCCTTCACCACCGATGCTTTTTCACAAATTAGTTCACCACCCAGAGCAGCCAATCTATCGGCCTGCTCATTGCCCAACACACTGAAATATGGTAATATCAATGCTCAGAATAGCCTTAACATGGTGCTGTAAACTCTGGCAGAAAGTTCTGGTTGTTCTTCCACTTTTAGACTCTGGTCTTGTTCCTGGACTTTGCCTGCACATCTGTTTTAAAGATCTGGCTTATTTTTATGCAGACAATTGGTGCCTTGTCTCTCAGGCAGATGCGCTCCAACTTAAAAGGAAACACCTAATTAGCTGCCTTTCATGAAATGCTTGGCGGGGGAGGGGGTGGAGGGCCCTAGGGTCTATCTCTTGTTCTCCTCACAATGGGGCCCTGAAATCCACAGGGAGAGTACTAAAAGAAAAAGAATGTCTGACAGGTGCCTGACAATAACAATTTCTTCTTCTTCCCAGGTAGTTAGCATCCTTTGGATATTTTCTCTATGCCAGTGTGTTGGGAAATGAGTAGGCAGATAGACTGGTCGGCTCTGCACCACTTGGTGGTGAACTGATGTATGACAAGTTGGATGTTGTGAGGGCCCTTTGGGAGCAAGTGAACAGTGCTGAGGAACAGATAGATCATTATGGTCAGAGGAGAATGGCACTGCGAAGAGTTACAAGGGGATCTGGCCGACGCTTGATACTCAGGGGAAAGGCGAGACCGATATACAATCAGACAATTACTGGTACCATTGGAATTTTAACTCTTCACTTGCTGCTGGAGATGAGGACGGAGCGCTTATGAGGGTGTCCCGAGTGCTGTGATGTCAATTCTTAATTCAACATTCAACATTCTTTGCGTTCGGTTTCGTATGCTCAGATCAGACCATCAGGTGAGTCGCCTCTATGAACTCGCATGTCAGCTACAAGTCCTTCATGTTTACTTTTTGCTCTTGAGGCCAGGTGTCTTTTCGAAGCTGTAGGTAGAGTGGGCAGGTCTGCAGAATGTGCTCAGGTGTTTGTGGTCCTGTTTAACAATTTAACAGACACTACAAACTCACAGCATGTATTAGGCCTGTTGTGTCGAAGCTTTTGCCAGCAGCTGTGAGTATCGCTGCCAGAACAGCTCCGGCAAGGATTGAACTGGTTCCCATTCCTAGAATAATCCATTATTACATTAGTCAAACATTACATGAATATGTTTCTACCTCAGATGTGATGTAAGAGCTTTAGACTTTATCATCTGAATCGATATCAGTAGCTCCACACGTGGGTTCTTATTCTTCTGTTTTATTCACTGGCTGTGACCGCCAGTGAAAAGTCCTGACTGTTCATCAACTTGGACTTTGGCTTTGCGCCAGGGCCTGAATTTTGCGTAAACATCCATTTTACTGGCTTATATGTGTGCAGTTGATTTTTCCTTGTCTTTCAGTCAGATGCATTCTGACTTCAAAGGAAGCCCCCCCCCCCCCCCCCCAATTAGTCGACTTCTGCCCCATGCTTGTTAGGGAGGCAGTTGGTCTGTTCTTGTTTTCCCCCACAATGGGGCCCCTGTGTGGGTTCAAGGACCCTGTTTAATAAATAACAGACCCACAACCCCTGTCAGCCTTGTCACAAAAGGTGACTAATTCAGTCACATGTGTTGGGTCAAAAGGCACAGATATCTCAGGTCACCTGTGAACCACAACACAACAGACCCACAACCCCTGTCAGCCTTGTCACAAAAGGTGACTAATTCAGTCACATGTGTTGGGTCAAAAGGCACAGATATCTCAGGTCACCTGTGAACCACAACACAACAGACCCACAACCCCTGTCAGCCTTGTCACAAAAGGTGACTAATTAAGTCACATGTGTTGGGTCAAAATGCACAGATATCTCAGGTCACCTGTGAACCACAACACAACAGACCCACAACCCTTGTCAGCCTTGTCACAAAAGGTGACTAATTCAGTCACATGTGTTGGGTCAAAAGGCACAGATATCTCACGTCACCTGTGAACCACAACACAACAGACCCACAACCCCTGTCAGCCTTGTCACAAAAGGTGACTAATTCAGTCACATGTGTTGGGTCAAAAGGGCACAGATATCTCAGGTCACCTGTGAACCACAACACAACAGGCCCACTGCCCCTTGAGTGGTAAAGTTAAATGAAGAACATCATTAGAACTCTCTATTCAGTATTATAACTCCCTGTGTGGGTTCTGGGGCTCCATTCATCATCATCATCATCATCCATTTCCACTTGTGCTGTTTAGCTGTATAAAAGGGTTGCCACAACATGAGGAACTTTATTTATTAATGGGTCGCTACTACATAAGGAACTGTTTTAAAGGGTTGCAGAATTAGGAAGGTTGAGAACTTGTCAGCTGCACAGCGAAGTTCCGGAATAGGGTTGCCACCAATTTTGAGCTGATTGTAAAAATCTACGCTAGAAATAAAGACAGATATTATTCAATATTATAATATTCTATGTTCGAAATGAAAAACCTGTTATTCACTATAAAAAAAAAAAAAAAAAAAAACACCTGTTCATTATTTTGAAATAAACAGATATTCACTGTTTTAAAAAAAACTTGTTATTCACTATTTTAAAATAACCTGTTACTTACTATTTTAAAATAACCTGTTATTCACTATTTTAAAATAACCGGTTACTTACTATTTTAAAATAACCTGTTATTCACTATTTTAAAATAACCTGATATTCATTATTTTAAAATAACCGGTTACTTACTATTTTAAAATAACCTGTTATTCACTATTTTAAAATAACCTGTTATTCACTATTTTAAAATAACCTGTTATTCACTATTTTAAAATAACCTGTTATTCCCTATTTTAATGCTTTATGTTAAGGGGGTGGGGGGGGGGGGGGGGGAGCCATTTGTTATTCTCAGGCATATTTTTCAGTAGGTGTGTTACTACAGAGTAACATCAACAGATAATGAAGCATAAAAACCGAATAAATCCAACTAAAATGCGAATGGTGTCTCTTGATGCCTTGTGATCAAATCAACAACCCCCTGCAAAAGCAGAAGGAATTTACAGTAAATATGAAGCAAACCATCCTGTAAGGCATGAGACTACAATGAATTGTTGTTGTTTGAATTAGGAATTGACATCATAGAACTTGGGACACTCCCATAAGTGCTCTGTCATCATCTTCAGCAGCTAATGAAGATGTTCCAACTTCGATGGCACCAGTAACTGTCTAATTGTACATCTGTCTCGCCTTTCCATTGAGCGTTGAGCATCGGCCAGATCCCCTGACAACTCCTCGCGGCATCATTCTCCTCAGACCGTAATGATCTATTTGTGCTTGCGCACTGTTCACTTGCTCCCAGAGGGACCTCACAACATCTAGCTTGTCATACACCAGTTGAACACCAAGTGGTGCAGAACTGGCCAGTCTATCTGACTGCTCATTTCTCAACACGCCGGCATAACCTGGAGAGAATATCTAAAGGATGCTAACTACCCAGGACCAGCAACTACAATGAACTTCTGGCAACTAGACAAAGACAGCTTAAGCACTAGGAACGGAGCTAGGAAACTATATCTAACTCCTCTCTGTAATCTTTACAGCATAAGCAGTAGGACAAAAGAAGAAGAAGAGGAAGAAGAAAAAGTTATATTCTTCTTCTTCTTTAGCATTCTGAGCCCTTCAGGTTCATTGCTGCAGATATCACCCACCTACACTCATCTCTCTGGTTGGTAACCAGTTGGTAATACCAGGTGTTTGCAGAAGAAGTTATATGAACAACAGAAACCACACTTCATATAGTAGTTCTAGTTTTTCGGAGCCACAGATACATAAATTATACAAACCTGAGCCATGAGGCAGATTGGACCAGGACTGGACCTCAAACCCACAGCCAAAACTGTCTTGCAGCTGCTGGTGCAAAGGTGTGGCAGAGTGCAGATCGATGAGATCAACACAGATGAAAGCTGCCTTCAGAAGGGATCCAGGAGCATGAGGCTGACAGTAGTCCTCCAGATCACTCAGTGTGCGACACTCCACCTCTGTGTTTGCCGATCCCTCGTTTATTACTGTGAAACGCAGCACGCCCCTGCAGACGATAATTCCACCGGGGTCAAGGCAAACAAAGGTAGACCAAATACACAGAGAGAGGGGAATTAGAAAGTGAAGCACAAAAAAGATGGGGAGGACATTGGGGAGAAGTACACAGAATAGATAAAGTAGGAGGACATAAGAGAGAAGTACACAGAATAGATAAAGTAGGAGGACATGGGAGAGAAGTACACGGTATCGATAAAGTAGGAGGACATGGGGGAGAAGTACACAGAATATATAAAGTAGGAGGACATGGGGGACAAGTACACAGAATATATAAAGTAGGAGGACATGGGGGACAAGTACACAGAATATATAAAGTAGGAGGACATGGGGGAGAAGTACACAGAATATATAAAGTAGGAGGACATGGGGGACAAGTACACAGAATATATAAAGTAGGAGGACATGGGAGAGAAGTACACTTAATAAAGTAGGAGTACATGGGGGACAAGTACACAGAATAGATAAAGTAGGAGGACATGGGAGAGAAGTACACGGTATCGATAAAGTAGGAGGACATGGAGGAGAAGTACACAGATTAGATAAAGTAAGATGACATGGTGAGAAGTACACAGAATAGATAAAGCAATAGGAGGACATGGGAGAGAAGTACACTTAAAAAGTAGGAGTACATGGGGGAGAAGTACACAGAATATATAAAGTAGGAGGACATGGGGGAGAAGTACACAGAATATATAAAGTAGGAGGACATGGGGGACAAGTACACAGAATATATAAAGTAGGAGGACATGGGGGACAAGTACACAGAATATATAAAGTAGGAGGACATGGGGGAGAAGTACACAGAATATATAAAGTAGGAGGACATGGGGGACAAGTACACAGAATATATAAAGTAGGAGGACATGGGAGAGAAGTACACTTAATAAAGTAGGAGTACATGGGGGACAAGTACACAGAATATATAAAGTAGGAGGACATGGGGGAGAAGTACACAGAATATATAAAGTAGGAGGACATGGGGGACAAGTACACAGAATATATAAAGTAGGAGGACATGGGGGACAAGTACACAGAATATATAAAGTAGGAGTACATGGGGGACAAGTACACAGAATATATAAAGTAGGAGGACATGGGGGAGAAGTACACAGAATAGATAAAGTAGGAGGACATGGGGAGAAGTACACAGAATAGATAAAGTAGGAGGACATGGGGAGAAGTACACAGATTAGATAAAGTAGGAGGACATGGGGGAGAAGTACACAGAATAGATAAAGTAGGAGGACATGGGGAGAAGTACACAGAATAGATTAAGTAGGAGGACATGGGGAGAAGTACACAGAATAGATAAAGTAGGAGGACATGGGGGAGAAGTACACAGAATAGATAAAGTAGGAGGACATGGGGAGAAGTACACAGAATAGATTAAGTAGGAGGACATGGGGAGAAGTACACAGAATAGATAAAGTAGGAGGACATGGGGGAGAAGTACACAGAATAGATAAAGTAGGAGGACATGGGGAGAAGTACACAGAATAGATTAAGTAGGAGGACATGGGGGAGAAGTACACAGAATAGATAAAGTAGGAGGACATGGGGGAGAAGTACACAGAATAGATAAAGTAGGAGGACATGGGGGAGAAGTACACAGAATAGATAAAGTAGGAGGACATGGGGAGAAGTACACAGAATAGATTAAGTAGGAGGACATGGGGAGAAGTACACAGAATAGATAAAGCAGGAGGACATGGAAGAGAAGTACACAGATTAGTTAAAGTAGGAGGACATGGGGAGAAGTACACAGAATAGATAAAGTAGGAGGACATGGGGAGAAGTACACAGATTAGATAAAGTAGGAGGACATGGAAGAGAAGTACACAGATTAGATAAAGTAGGAGGACATGGGGGAGAAGTACACAGATTAGATAAAGTAGGAGGACATGGGGAGAAGTACACAGAATAGATAAAGCAGGAGGAAATGGAGAGAAGTACACAGAATAGATAAAGCAGGAGGAAATGGGGAGAAGTACACAGAATAGATAAAGTAGGAGGACATGGGGAGAAGTACACAGAATAGATAAAGTAGGAGGACATGGGGAGAAGTACACAGAATAGATAAAGTAGGAGGACATGGAAGAGAAGTACACAGAATAGATAAAGCAGGAGGAAATGGGGAGAAGTACACAGAATAGATAAAGTAAGAGGACATGGTGGAGAAGTACATAGAATAGATAAAGTAGGAGGACATGGTGGAGAAGAACACAGAATAGATCAAGTAGGAGGACATGGGGAGAAGTACACAGAACAGATAAAGTAGGACATGGGGGAGAAGTACACAGAATAGATAAAGTAGGAGGACATGGGGGAGAAGTACATAGAATAGATAAAGTAGGAGGACATGTGGGAGAAGTACATAGAATAGATAAAGTAGGAGGACATGGGGGAGAAGTACACAGAATAGATAAAGTAGGAGGACATGGGGGAGAAGTACATAGAATAGATAAAGTAAGAGGACATGGGGGAGAAGTACACAGATTAGATAAAGTTGGAGGAAGATCTGTAAAACGAATGCACACACAAAACTCAGGTCCTGGAAAAAAGCCAAAGACCAGAAATGGATGAACAGCCAGGTCTTTCCACCAGGATTGACAGCCGGTGAATGCAAACAAACAGCAACTCATCTCATTTCATTGTCTTGTTATGCCACCATCATATGTCACACAGGACTTGCAGCTGATTTCTTCATTCCCCTCTCACCTGCACAGTCATATCGACATTAAGGAAACATTCGGTTTCTCTCATCATCGTGGACTTTCAGGTTTATCTCGGACAGTGGTTCTCAACCTTCCTAATGCCACAACCCTTTAATACAGTTCCTCATGCTGTGGTAACCCTTTAATACAGTTCCTCATGCTGTGGCGACCCTTTAATACAGTTCCTCATGCTGTGGCGACCCTTTAATATAGTTCCTCATGCTGTAGTGACCCTTTAATACAGTTCCTCATGCTGTGGTAACCCTTTAATACAGTTCCTCATGTTGTGGCAACCCTTTAATACAGTTCCTCATGCTGTGGTAACCCTTTAATACAGTTCCTCATGCTGTGGCGACCCTTTAATACAGTTCCTCATGCTGTGGCGACCCTCTAATACAGTTCCTCATGTTGTGGCGACCCTCTAATATAGTTCCTCATGCTGTGGCGACCCTTTAATACAGTTCCTCATGCTGTGGCGACCCTATAATGCAGTTACTCATCTTGTTGCGACCCCCAACCATACAATTATTTTCATCTAACTTCATAACTTCAGTGAATATGTGTTTTGTGACGGTCTTTGGCGACCAGTGTGAATGAGTCATTAGACCAAAAAGAAAATCACGACCCGCAGGTTGAGAACCGCTGATCTAGGACCTCCTCGCTTCCTCAATCATCTGTTTCACATTTCAGTGTCTGGTGATTCTCTATTCATCTCTACCCAATATAGCGCCATCTTCTCTCTCTTCTAACTATTGATATTAGTGGTTGCCCGGACATTTGTCTTATTTATTCACTCCTTTTGCATTTATTTCATTTTATTTTCATCATTTTCCTCAGGCATTTTTGTGTGGAAAATGCATTAAAGTATTGTTTCATGTCTTTACTGGTTTTCTCCAGCTTTCAATGGCATTTTTAAAAAAACGGAAATAACATTAGAATTGAAAATACGTAACTCGATTACAAAACTATATAATTGAAAGTTCCATATTTTATCCTGGGGCACCAGGGGCATAACCTTCTCAATCTTTCAATCAGCGAGTACTATTTATAAATGGAGGAAGAGTAGGAGAAAAGGAAGAGGAGGAGGAAGAAGATGAGAGGAAGGAGGAAGAAGATGAGAGGAGGAAGATGAGAGGATGAAGAGAGGAGGAAGATGAGAGGATGAAGATGAGAGGAGGAAGAGGAGAGGAGGAAGAAGATGAGAGATGGCAGGAAGAAGAGATGAGGAAGATGAGAGGAAGGAGGAAGATAAGAGGAGGAGAGGAAGGAGGAATAAGAGAGGAAAGAAGATGAGAGGAAGGAAAAAGATAAGAGGAAGAAGAGTTGAGGAAGATGAGAGCAGGAATATGAGAGGAAAGAAGATGAGAGGAAGGAAGGAGATAAGAGGAAGAAGAGTTGAGGAAGATGAGAGCAGGAAGATGAGAGCAGGAAGAGGAGAGGAGGAAGATAAGAGAATGAAGAGGAGAGGAGGAAGAAGATGAGAGATGGGAGGAAGAAGAGATGAGGAAGATGAGAGGAAGGAGGAAGATAAGAGGAGGAGTGGAAGGAGGAATATGAGAGGAAAGAAGATGAGAGGAGGAAGATGAGAGGAAGGAGGAAGATAAGAGGAGTGGACGGAGGAATATGAGAGGAAAGAAGATGAGAGGAGGAAGATGAGAGGAGGAAGATAAGAGGAAGGAAGAAGATAAGAGGAAGAAGAGTTAAGGAAGATGAGAGGAGGAAGATGAGAGGAGGAAGATAAGAGGAAGGAAGAAGATAAGAGGAAGAAAAGGAAGATGAGAGGAGGAAGATGAGAGGAGGAAGAGGAGAGGAGGAAGAAGAGAGGAAGGATGATTAAGAGAGGGTGAAGGAAATATGGAGGAAAGGAAGAGGAGGAGGAGGAGAAGGAAAATCAGGAAATATGCTTACTCCTTGATCCTCCTGGCTCTTGCACCAATTGGTCTCTGTGGGATGAAATAAACAAAACAGTATAACCTCATTTTGAATATTATTGGCAGCGACTGTGGTGTAGCAGGCAGGCACTCACCTGTTGGCCTGAAGGTCTAGGGTTCTAATACCTATTGCAGCATTTATTTTTAAAATTGACCTTGGCTTCTGCGCCGAGCCTACCTACAATAAGTAATAGGTAATGCCTTAAGTCAGCGTCTGTGGCTTAGGATTGCAAATGAAGTTTCATAATTCCAAGAACCCGGATGAGATCTCAGCTGTGGCAGATTTGGCAGCAGACCGACTTGCGTTGGTTTCGACAGGGGTATTGAGAGGTGACCATTCAGCAGGCAATGGCAAACTTCTTTTTTCTTTTTTTTTCTTCTATTTCACCTTGTACCTCAGCGAAGTGTCCGGGGGGGGGGGGGGGGGGGGGGGTGTATAGCGTTTGCTGGCTTTTTTGTTTAGCTGTCGGAGGGTTTACTGTTTGTTTGCACTGATAGTTGCACGCACGCACGCTGCGTCACATATACAAACATACACACACACACACAAACTAGCATTTTCATGTCAAACACTGCTAATGTCCGAGCACTGACCTTCTCATTGATCAGCAGACCCACCATGATAACAGCACCTCCATGTTCATATGTGATTGGTGGAGTATCTGACCAACCTCCGGATAAGTCAATACGAGCCGGGCAGTCTGCCTGTACCCATTTGTTCATCAGTGGCAAGGTTCCTTCTCCGGAACTGAAAAACTACATATAACATAAATATGTTTAAGGTGATGTATGTAATCCTGGACATTTAATAAACAAGCCAAACAATTTCTAAACTCTGTTTCCCTGAGCAAGCCGGTTTTCTGACTTTTATGGGTTTTTGATGCCATGACATCCTTGGGTAGTGGCCAATACACGTATATACAATTGATGGCATGACATCCTTGGTCAGTGGCCAATACATGTATATAATTGATGGTATGTCATCCTTGGGCAGTGGCCAATACACGTATACAATTGATGACATGACATCCTTGGTCAGTGGCCAATACATGTATACAATTGATGGTATGTCATCCTTGGGTAGTGGCCAATACAAGTATACAATTGATGACATGACATCCTTGGGCAGCGGCCAATACACATATACAATTGATGACATGACATCCTTGGTCAGTGGCCAATACACGGATACAATTGATGGTATGTCATCCTTGGGCAGTGGCCAATACACATATACAATTGATGGTATGACATCCTTGGGTAGTGGCCAATACACGTATACAATTGATGGCATGTCATCCTTGGGCAGTGGCCAATACACGTATACAATTGATGGTATGTCATCCTTGGGCAGTGGCCAATACACGTATACAATTGATGGTATGACATCCTTGGGTAGTGGCCAATACACGTATACAATTGATGGCATGTCATCCTTGGGCAGTGGCCAATACACGTATACAATTGATGGTATGACATCCGGGGCAGTGGTTAATACACGTATACAATTGATGGCATGACATCTTTGGGCAGCGGCCAATACACGTATATAATTGATGGTATGACATCCTTGGGCAGTGGCCAATACACGTATACAATTGATGGCATGTCATCCTTGGGCAGTGGCCAATACACGTTTACAATTGATGGTATGACATCCTTGGGCAGCGGCCAATACACGTATACAATTGATGGCATGTCATCCTTGGGCAGTGGCCAATACACGTATACAATTGATGACATGACATCCTTGGGCAGGTGACAATACACGTATACAATTGATGACATGACATCCTTGGGCAGTGGCCAATACACGTTTACAATTGATGGTATGTCATTCTTGGGCAGTGGCCAATACACGTATACAATTGATGGTATGTCATCCTTGGGTAGTGGCCAATACAAGTATACAATTGATGACATGACATCCTTGGGTAGTGGCCAATACACGTATACAATTGATGGCATGACATCCTTGGGCAGCGGCCAATACACGTATACAATTGATGGCATGGCATCCTTGGGCAGGTGACAATACACGTATACAATTGATGGCATGGCATCCTTGGGCAGGTGACAATACACGTATACAATTGATGGCATGGCATCCTTGGGCAGGTGACAATACACGTATACAATTGATGGCATGGCATCCTTGGGCAGGTGACAATACACGTATACAATTGATGGCATGGCATCCTTGGGCAGGTGACAATACACGTATACAATTGATGGCATGGCATCCTTGGGCAGGTGACAATACACGTATACAATTGATGGCATGGCATCCTTGGGCAGGTGACAATACACGCATGCAACAGCTTTGGTACTGGTTGCAGTGTGTAGACATGGTGGGTGTAGGCAACCGTCAGTCCCTAGGGACCATGGGGTGCTGGTTGTGGGAACAGTGTCTGCTATGACTGTAAAGCCTAAAGAGGGAGTGGCAGTCTCTGCTACAGTCCACACAATAACACTGAAGTCCTAGAAGCCCTATTACAAAAGCTCCCATGCCATGATTCTAGAAAGTTGAATGTTGAATTAAGAATCAACATCACAGCACTCGAGATGCTGCACTCCCACAAGTGCTCAGTCCCCATCTTCAGCAGCAAGCGAAGAGTTTCAATTCCGATGGTACCAGTAACCGTCTGATTGTATATCCGTCTTATCCTTCCCCCGAGTGTTGAGTGTCGGCTAGATCCCCTGGTAACTACTCGCAGCGCCATTCTCCTTAGACCGTAGAGACTCCTTAGAGTGCATCTGCTTGAGAGTCAGGGAACCAACAGTCTGCAAATCAATATGATCTGTAAAACAGATGTGCAGGCAATACTCAGGTACTGGAACAGGACTAGAGTCTAGAAGTGGACGAACAACCAGAACTTTCCGCTAGAGGTTACAGCCCGCGAACACGAAGATGAAGAACAGCTGCCTGACAGCACATCCTAGTTATACAGGAAGTACCTTCAGAACAAAGAGAGCATCGTAGAATAAAGAAAGCAGTGATAAGTTTTAAAATACAAATACAAAAAAAAAAAAAACTACTAAGATTCTGCTGAGAGGGTGTTTGTAGTGCAAGGTAACAAAGTACAAGTTGAGCTGAGGTGAGCTGATTCAAGAACTGACATCAAAGCATTCGAGACGTTCCTATAAGTGCTCCGTCCCCATCTTGAGCAGCTAATGCAGAGTTCCAATACCAATGGTGCCTGTAGAAGTCTGATCAGCCAGATCCCCTCGTCACTCCTAGCTGCACCGCTCTCCCCAGACTGGGATGATCAATTTTCTAGTATAAGAGAAACAAAACAAGCTAAGGAAAAATCTTTGAGGACACACAAGGAGGAAGAGCCCACCTGTTTTGCTGTCATGACAGCCTGCCTGATCAGGATTTGTGCAGCTCCTTCATAATGCCTGGCTGCTCGTATCAGCAGGTCAGGCCTGTTCATCCATTTCTCCCTCTCCTTAGCCATCGCGGCCACCCCCTGAGCAAAATTCCCAGCCTGAGACACAGAACAAAGACAAATTGTGAAAATTCCCAACCTAATATATAGAATAAAGTCATTAAGGTCATAAGTCAAGGAGGTGTTTAGATAGTCGGCGTGATGTTGACCAAATCACAGATCAAGGGCTAACTAATCTCTAAAAAAAACATGAGCCTAGTTTATAGATGAGCCATGAGAATATCCTTGACAGATAACCAGAGTAATGAGGATGTCTTGAAAGAAACTGACTCATGATGAGAACTGATTGCCCACATCAGAAAGAGACAATTTACATTCTTCAGTCATGTGATGAGGAGGAGAAACCTTAAGTACATCGTGACAGCAGGGAAGTTGGGAGAGGGAGACCAAGAGAACAGATGCTGGACAGTCTGACATCATGGCGTAGAGGATCATCTGTGTCAGAGTTGACTGAAAGTACACGAGACAGAAGGCTGTGGACAGACATGACTACCAATGCCACACGGCATAGAGGATCATCTGTGTCAGAGTTGCTTTAAAGTACACGAGACAGAAGGCTGTGGACAGTGATGACTACCAACGCCACATGGCATGGAGAATCATCAGTGTCAGAGTTGACTGACAGTACACGAGACAGAAGGCTGTGGACAGTGATGACTACCAACGCCACATGGCATGGAGAATCATCTGTGTCAGAGTTGACTGAAAGTACACGAGACAGAAGGCTGTGGACAGACATGACTACCAATGCCACACGGCATAGAGGAACATCTGTGTCAGAGTTGCTTTAAAGTACACGAGACAGAAGGCTGTGGACAGTGATGACTACCAACGCCACATGGCATGGAGAATCATCAGTGTCAGAGTTGACTGACAGTACACGAGACAGAAGGCTGTGGACAGTGATGACTACCAACGCCACATGGCATGGAGAATCATCTGTGTCAGAGTTGACTGAAAGTACACGAGACAGAAGGCTGTGGACAGACATGACTACCAATGCCACACGGCATAGAGGATCATCTGTGTCAGAGTTGCTTTAAAGTACACGAGACAGAAGGCTGTGGACAGTGATGACTACCAACGCCACATGGCATGGAGAATCATCAGTGTCAGAGTTGACTGAAAGTACACGAGACAGAAGGCTGTGGACAGTGATGACTACCAACGCCACACGGCATGGAGGGTATCTGTGTCAGAGTTGACTGAAAGTACACGAGACAGAAGGCTGTGGACAGTGATGACTACCAACGCCACATGGCATGGAGGATCATCTGTGTCAAAGAAGGTTAACTGCAATGGATCTCCAAAATGCTGTCTCAGTAGTACACTCGTTCTGCTGTTAGTCCATCTTGTGATGGTGTCCTCCCAGTTGCACTGTTGCCTACCTCTTGCTATCATGCCTTCAATGTTTACCTCAAGTATGGCTTTTATAAAAGAGTATTATGTCTTTGGATGTGGTCAAAATATTTTGATTGTCTCATTTTAATTTCTCTCAGTAAATCTCTTTTCCTTCGCAGTCTCTCTGGTAGCTGTGTGTCTGTTTTTGTTTCCATGAACTACGACCCATTCTTCTGCTTATTCACAGACTAAATTCAATTTTCTAGTTGACTGTTCATTCTCCAAGTTTCTGCACCATACAGTGGGGTTGAGTATATATAACATTTTCTGATACTATAGGAGAGACCAGAAGAGATAAAATCAGGAATGAGGCCATACGAGATAAAGTCAGCACAGAACCAATTCTAAATTACATGCAAAGACAGCACATTCAAATGGTTTGCCCACTTAGAGAGTACACCTTCTGATGCTATACCATACAAGGCATATACCAAAAGAGGAGAGGGACATAGAGCAAGAAGAGGCAGACCAAGGAGATGGGAAGATAGCATCAGAGAAACTCTACAGCATAACGATGTGCCTATGGTCGAAGCAGCCAGAAGAGCAGGACCTTATATGTCCCTCAACACCTGAAGCGATAAAAGAAGACATAAAGAAGAAGAAGATGATTCTAATTTCTAATACATTGTTTTAAAAAGAGTAATAAAGATGTTTTGAAAGGAACTGACTCACGAAGAGAACTGATTGTCCACATCAGAAAGAGACAATCTACATACTTTAGTTATGTAATGAGAAGAATAAACCTGGAGTACTTCATGACAGTAGGAAAGTTGGAGAGGAGGAGAGGCAGAGGGAGACCGAGAGAAAAGATGCTGGACAGTTTGACATTATGGCATGGAGGATCATCTGTGTAGAGTTGACTGAAAGGACACAAGACAGAAGGTTGTGGATAGACATGACTACAGCGCCACATGGCATGGGGAATCATTTGTGTCAGGGTTGACCGAAAGGACAGGAGATAGAAGGTTGTCGATAGACACGACTACTAACGCCATATGACATGGAGGACTACTAACGCCACACTGCACTGACTTTGAGAAGAAGAATGTATTGTTTATCTGTCTATCTAAAGTTCAAGATATAAAATACGCAGTATCGGTTTATCTAACCACCAGACAATACCTCCAGGTAAGAGAATGCTTTTCTCCAAGACACATTCCCAGCCGGACCACTTCGGAGACCTCCCTTGGTCCCAGCCATCCCTCCCAACATGTCAGCTATGTTGGCCAGAGTTCTGGCGGCAATTCCTGGAGACAAAGTCTCACTTGCCACTGTGTAAATAAGATTGGAAGAAAATAAAGTATGTATTACATAAAGTATTAGTATATCAACAGGAAGCCACCGTGGTCTAGTGGCTAGACGCTCGCCTGCGGATCGGAAGGTCATGGGTTCGGTTCCTGATGGGGGCCTGACTTTATTCAAAAATGGTTCCCAGGTCAACCTAGCTCTGAGTGGGTACCAGGTACAGCCCTGGGAAGTAAAGGTGGCCGACATGATGCTGACAACATTAACCATCAAGAGCCGTGTGGTCTATAAAATACAGGTCTAGCCCTATATACCCAATACGCCTGAAAGGCGTGGGAAAATGGTCCTTTTTATTAGTATGTCAACACCATGAAGAGCCTATGGCACAGCACTGGCAAACTGAGTTCAAGTAACAATTCTGAGACCATGCATCTTTCGCATGGTAGCTTATGGATGTGAGTCACAGACTTTTACACAATAACTAAAGAAAAGAATCAGAGCTTCTGAACTGAAATGCTGCAGAAGCATTCTTAGAATACCAAGGCAGACGTGGTCAAGGCCCTTTAGGAACAAGCAACGGAATTAGTAGAGAAACAAGATTATTATGGCCTGGAGAGAATGAGGCACCTGTGTGTAACCAGAAGGTCTGGCTGGCTCTCTTCACTCAGAGGAAAGGCAAGACGGACATATAACCAGATTGTGACCCGTACCATCAGTATTGGAATTCTTTGCTGGCTGCTGAAGATGAGGATGGAGCACACATGGGAATGCCCCGAGTGCTGTGATGTCAATTCTTGACTCAACTCAACTCTTAGAATACCATGGACCAAGAAAAAAGAAAAACACTGACATCCTACTTGAGATTCGAGATTCGAGGAGAATTGGCTCATAAACAGCATGCTGTCCCAACAGATGGGGTATTCTGGCCATGTTAAATGTCATTGTGACCTGGTGAGAACGGTCGTGAAGTGTACCATTTCTGGAAAATGAGGCAGAGACAGACCTCTGCACATGCAGATACAAGACACTGAAGATGCATTGGTTATGAAAGCATATAGGGCTGGGGAACTGGGCACAGATAGAGAGACTTTCAGGCATGCCGTGACAACAGCAGCATGCTGTAAACAACCTGTGGATTGATAATGATGTATTAGCTTCACAGAAACAATTCAGTAAACGAACAAAAGAAGTCTTTCAGTAGCTGGTCTTCTTCGGTTTTCCCCTACTTTATCCCCCCAGTGGAGCATAGGCCCTCAACCAACTCACGCCACGTGGTGCTATCCTTTGCTCTTGTACACAGCTCAACTTCTCTCTAGCTCCCTTCTTGATGTATCTTTTTTGGTCTGCCTCTATTTCTATGCCTCTGTGGACAATTTCTGAAGTTTATTAGTAGCTGTTTTAGTTATTCTCCCCCCCCCCCCCCACCCTTCCCCGACTTCATAAGTCAGTTTCTTTAAAGACACCTATATCACCCTTTTTTTAAAAGTCTGTCCAGGGTATTCACTTAATTCGCCTATAAAACCACATCTCTACCACTTCTAACTAATTTGTCACTAACCGTCCAACTGTCCATGATTCACTTTCGTTATATAACAGGATAGATTTTACATAAAGGTAAATTCGGTAAAGTCGGGAGATGTGAACCAGCGTCATTGCACACGGTTATAAACCATAAGTGCTCTGCCACCAGTACGGACAGCTGATAAGAATTGTCCGCCTGTGTCGCTGTCCGCACGTAACTCCGTAGCTACAGCGACGTTCCTCCATTTACCCCAGAGTGTCAACTCTGGTACCCATTTCCTAGAGGCTGGGTGAACACCGGGAGCCGCCCGGTTTTGAACACCGACCTTGCCTGCAGCGGGTCGCAGCTGGATTTGAAAGCGAGCTTCTTATCAACTGCACTAACGCATAGCTCTTGAGAAGTCTCTTTCTCATCTCAGAAGACAAAGAAAAACTGCAAAAAAATATTCTTCATTTTGTAAAAATTGTGTCTCTGCTGCACAGGTCAGGAAGGTTATTTCTGTCCCAGACAGAAAAAAATTTTACCCCCCCCCCCCCATATATGATTCAAAGCCAGGCCTGTCACATGAGAGCCCAGCATACTAACCACATGGCCAGCCACTCTTCCAAAACACTAAACAAACCTTTATCGAGCGTCTGCAGAACAGAGCTGGCATGGTCCTCCACGCTGGCACTGTTGAAGAAACTACAAAATCCCTTGTGTCCCTGGGCAGTCAGAGCTTTCTGCAACTGAATCTCTCCCACTTTATAGAACAGCTTTCTGTAAACAGTTCAATAATATATGCATTACTGGTTGCTGTCTCTATCTCCCCGTGTGGGTTCCTTGCAAATAGTTCAATAACACACGCATTACTGTTGCTGACTTCATCTCCCCTTGTGGGTTCCCTGCAAACAATTCAATAACACACGCATTACTGATGCTGTCTTCATCTCCCCGTGTGGGATACTTGCAAATAATTCAATAACAAACGCATTACTGTTGCTGACTTCATCTCCCCTTGTGGGTTCCCAGTAAACAATTTAAAAACACACATTACTGTTGCTGTCTTCATCTCCCCGTGTGGGTTCTCAGTTAAAAATTCAATAACACACGCATTACTGTTGCTGTTTTCATCTCTCCGTGTGGGTTCCAGGGTCCCAGTGCGGGGAACAGAAAGAACAGATCCGCTGCTCCCTAACAAGCATGTCGTAAGAGTCGACTAATTAGGGATGTTTCCTTCGAAGTCTGAGTGCATTTGCCTGAATAAAATAAGCCACATCTTTAAAATGGAGGCTCACACATAACAGGTTCTGGAACAAGACTCAAGTACAGAAGTGGATGAACAACCAGAACTTTCAGGCAGAGTTCACAGCCGGGGTGAATGGGAAGAAGAACAAGACGAAGCTAACTCCATCATTGCTGGTTCCAAGCCCGGCTGAGAAAGGAGGAGGGTTGGGTGTGGAGCTAGCTATGCTACTGGAAACAAATAATTGTGCCAAAGAAAATCATCAATCCATCAGTGCCGTCTCCACAGTGAAGGCTGGTTGCAGTGGATCTCCAAAATGCTCTGTCTCTTGTCTTGATTGTACACTCTCTCAGACTGTTGTTCATCCATTACTTGATGATGTCTCCTCACTTGTACTGTTGTCTACCTCTTGCTCTCTCGCTGCTGACTTTGCCCTCCAGAATGGTTTTTAAAAGAGTGTTATGCATTTTAATGTTGCTAAAATAATTCAAATGCCTCCTTTTAATTTCTTTCAGTAACTCTCTACAGAAAATATGGAACTCCATATATTTATAAAACCAAGTTAGGAACTTTCAATTCCAATCTTGTTTCAGTTTTAAGATCTGCTGCTGAAAGCTGCAGAACCACTTAAGACATAAGGAAGAGAACTCAGTGAATTTAAAAAAAAATCTTTTTCTTCTTAAAGTCCATGCCGTGTGGCGTTGGTAGTCATGTCTATCCACAACTTTCTGTCTCGGTAGCTTTAATCAACTCTACATAGATGATTCTTCATACCATGATGTCAAACTGTCCAGCATTTTTTCTCTCCCCCCCTCCCTCTGCCTCTCTTCCCTTCTAACTTTCCTACTGTCACGATGTACTCCAGTTTTCTCCTTCTAATCACATGGCTTAACACTATGAGTCCCAAGAAACGCATCATACGTTTCTAGGTTTCTACCTAAAAGCCCAATGAACGCAAGGTGCACTGATTTGATGACTCTCTTCACTACCCCCTGGGCCTGTGATGCTAAACATCCTGGGACTCAAAGAGTTAAGAATGTAGATCGTGTCTTTTTGGTTTGGGCAATCAGTTCTCTTGAGAGTTTAAACCAAATATAAAGGAAAACTGATAAATATGAAATGAGATGAATTCAAAGAAAGCTGTAGAAATCATAGAAATGTCTGGGCAACCATTTGTATGAGGGGAAGTCAATCAGTAGGTCACAAATGGCTGTTGAAAAAAAAAAAAAAAATTACTAACGATGATAATAACTTGAACACCATTCATTTCTACACACACACTGTCCCTTTATTTTTTAACATAATTTCCACCAACACTGCTGCACTTGTCTTATCGTTTTATCAGTCCTCCCAAACCTGCTGCATAAAACTGTGTGCTCTGTTTTTCTAAACCACATTTTCACTTCACATTCAACTTCTGCATCATTTGCGAAATGTCTCCCACCAAGGTGGGTTTTCAGTGGAACAACAATTTCGATCGTTCATGCATTATGTTGTTATGTTGAACCATGTGAGCACCCCATTGCAGCTGCTACAGAGTCAACCGTTACTCGCCTGTCACCTCTATTCATCTCCTCCACCAGCTGCACGGTTGCGTCTGTTGCAATCTCAACAGGACGACCAGATCGGACTTCATCAACAATTTTAGAGCATCTTTAAGAAAATTCACTCAGTAAGTTTACAAAACATGGCTATCCGGTCAGTACTCAATATTTCAACTACTCTATGTGACTATCTAGTCAGTACTCAAGGATTTAGCTACTATAGGTAGCCATCCAGTCAGTTCTCAAGGATTTAGCTATTATATGTGGCCAACTAGTAAGTACTCAAGGATTTAGCTACTATATGTGGCCATCTAGTCAGTACTCGATGGTTTAACTACTATATGTGGCCATCTAGTCAGTACTCAATTTAAACAGTATATGGATATTTTATATCCATGATAGTGAAATGACTGCAAATGACAGAAAGAAGCGTAAGAATATACTGCGAGCCTTATGTGTTGTACAATAGCACAATAATATTATGATATGATGATGATGATGATTCAACTATTATATCATGATTCTGCACTGTGAAGGAGTTATAAGGGGATCTGGCTGACGCTCGACACTCATGGAAAAGGCGAGACGGATATACAATCAGACAGTTACTGGTACCATCAGAATTTTAACTCTTCATATGCTGCTGAAGATGGGGACGGAGCACTTATGGCTGGGCTGCTGTGATGTCGATTCTTAATTCAACAACACTGGTGATTCTATAGTGAAAGTGGCGAGTTTTCACTGTTTTAACTTTAAATTCAAAACATTGTTTTCCCCGTGTGTGTTTCGAGGTCCTTTTTTGGAGAATAAGAAACAGAATTGACAAGCATGTCATACTGACCCCTTGACGCTCGACACTCATGGAAAAGGCAAGACGGATATTCAATCAGACAGATACTGAAGAAAAACAAACACCTCTCACCTCTTGCACAGGAACTCCGCTCCCAGGTCGATGTTTGCTAGGATGTCAGACAAGGACACCCTCCAAGAAGATCTCCACCTGGCAAAGACAGAACTAACACTTAGATCACTGGTCAGCACCTCAGATTTGTCGAGCAGACCCAACAAACAATCTGTATTTTTACATGGTCACAAACTGGGCAAGCAGGCCTGTCTTATATTCGGTCCTTCCAAACACTCAACTCTCACACTGCATTTGCATTTTATCTATAAAGTATGTTATGTTCATATATCAAGTGCATTTTAACTATAAAGTATGTTATGTTCACATATCAAGTTTATTTAATCTATAAAGTATGTCATGTTCATATATCAAGTGTATGTTATCTATAAAGTATGTTATGTTCATATGGCAAGTGTATTTTATCTATAAAGTATGTTATCTTCATATATCAAGTGTATGTTATCTATAAAGTATGTTATGTTTACACATCAAGTGTATTTTATCTCCCAAATATGTTATGTTAATATATTAGTGTATTTTATCTATAAAGCATGTTATGTTCATATATCAAGTCTCTTATCAACAGAAGAAGAGAATGATCAAATCAATCAGAATGCCACCGAAACTGGCACAAGATGATTACCATATTATGGACAGACCAGAGCAAGTTATTATCCTTCGCCTTAGAACAGGTCACAATAGACTTCGCTCCCACATGTACAACAAATTTAAGATTGGCCAATCGGCCATGTGTACTTGTGGACTGGCACCTGAAACAACAGATCACATCCTTCAAGACTGTCCCATATTCAACGCTTTCAGGCAAAACATTTGGCCAAAAGAGACACTTGTGGAAGTCAAACTTTACGGGCCGCTTAGTGAATTACAAAAGACAGTGAAATTCATACAAGAGACGGCTTTGCAGATATAGACAATTTATTTCATGCGAACGAAAGAAGAAGAAGAAGATATATCAAGTGTATTTTATCTATAAAGCATGTTATGTTCATATATCAAGTGTGTTTTATCTATAAAGTATGTTATGTTCATATGGCAAGTGTGTTTTATCTATACAGTATGCTATGTTCACATATCAAGTGTGTTTTATCTATACAGTATGCTATGTTCACATATCAAGTGTGTTTTATCTATACAGTATGCTATGTTCACATATCAAGTGTGTTTTATCTATACAGTATGCTATGTTCACATATCAAGTGTGTTTTATCTATACAGTATGCTATGTTCACATATCAAGTGTGTTTTATCTACAAAGTTTGCTATGTTCACATATCTAGTGTATTGTATCTATAAAGTATGCTATATTCATATAGCAAGTGTATTTTATCTATAAAGTATGGTATATTTATACAGCATTACATATGGAGGATTATGTAGATCCTTAGATCACTGACCACCAACTCATATGGGCCAGGCAGATAGTTACTTAGAGGTATTCCCTTCTAATTTCAGAATTCCAAGCAGAAAAAAAAAAATACACACAAAACAAATGAATTAACGAAACACCTACAGCATATGAACACAAATAAAGACAGACAAATATTAATAACAGACAAGCACAATAAAAAAAGACTAGTAAAGAAAAGGTAAATAATAAGCATGAGGATAAAGAAATCAGACATGAAATATTACTGGCACCTTCCCGTTTGTTTCCTGATGACAGTGTTCCCTGCTAAGGGAAGGCTAATTTCAGAATTAAAAAAAAGCAGCCCTTTTTTAACCTGATTTACACACAAAACAAATATAATGAATTAACGAAACACCCCCCTTACATAGCCTTCCTGATTCGCAAATTATTCATAGTGAACACAATTAAAGAGACAGCACAAGTGCCTTTAAACCTTATTCAAGTGCCTTCCTGATTCGCATTCTAGTCTTCCTGAAGAAATTCAGACATGAAATATTACTGGCACCTTCCCCCCCCCTTATTCATAGTGCCTTCCTGATTCGCTCCCCCCCCCCCCTTATTCATAGTGCCTTCCTGATTCGCTCCCCCCCCCCTTATTCATAGTGCCTTCCTGATTCGCTCCCCCCCCCCCTTATTCATAGTGCCTTCCTGATTCGCTCCCCCCCCCCCCTTATCATTCATATTGGTGCCATCCCCACATTTTTATATTGTGCCTTCTTTCTCTCCCCCCCCCCTTATTCATAGTGCCTTCCTGATTCGCTCCCCCCCCCCCCCTTATTCATAGTGCCTTCCTGATTCGCTCCCCCCCCCTTATTCCTAGTGCCTTCCTGATTCGCTCCCCCCCCCCCTTTTATTCCTAGTGCCTTCCTGATTCGCTCCCCCCCCCCTTTTATTCCTAGTGCCTTCCTGATTCGCTCCCCCCCCCCCCCTTATTCATAGTGCCTTCCTGATTCGCTCCCCCCCCCCCTTATTCATAGTGCCTCATAGTGCCTTCCTGATTCGCTCCCCCCCCCCCCTTATTCATAGTGCCTTCCTGATTCGCTCCCCCCCCCCCCCCCTTATTCATAGTGCCTTCCTGATTCGCTCCCCCCCCCCCCTTATTCATAGTGCCTTCCTGATTCGCTCCCCCCCCCCCCTTATTCATAGTGCCTTCCTGATTCGCTCCCCCCCCCCCTTATTCATAGTGCCTTCCTGATTCGCTCCCCCCCCCCTTATTCATAGTGCCTTCCTGATTCGCTCCCCCCCCCCCCTTCATAGTGCCTTCCTGATTCGCTCCCCCCCCCCCCCTTTATTCATAGTGCCTTCCTGATTCGCTCCCCCCCCCCCCCTTATTCATAGTGCCTTCCTGATTCGCTCCCCCCCCCCCCCATTCATAGTGCCTGAAATTTTGATTCCCCAATCTACTCAATACCCCCCCCCCTTTATTCATAGTGCCTTCCTGATTCGCTCCCCCCCCCCCCCCCTTATTCATAGTGCCTTCCTGATTCGCTCCCCCCCCCCTAGATCAATCGGCACTAGGCGGGTAATGTGGTCAGCATTACGCCGGTTATCTTTAATTCTCCAGGACGTATATGCTGGTATCCATTTTAGGCTGGGTTGACCTGTGGCGCCCCATATCATGATACAAATCTACCCAGCCAGCAGTGGGTTTCAATCGCCGTACATTGGAATTACGAGTCGGAGTCGTAGCGCCTAAGCCACGGACGCCGCTGTGTACATATTTATATCCACATTAAACCAGAGAAGAATATACCATTATACCATCAATACACCTCCATGACCCTAATGGGTCAAGGGTTATGTTATGTTTATACCATTAACGGGTCAAAGGTTATGTTATTTCAATACCATTAATGGGTCAAGGATTATGTTATGTCTATAAGATTAAGAGGAGATCACAGATCAACTTCAGTATTTACTGACTGTTGTGTGGTTCTTCTAGGCATTTTTACAATCAGTAGTTTGTCACTGCTTTCTGAAATGTATGACATTCATACTGCTATCAAGCGGAGTTCCAACTTCATTATGAATGGGTCAATCCATAATAGCTTTGTTCATATGCTAGAGTATAACATATTAATTATCCATCACTGTCTCATGTGAAGTCAGACAGTAGCCCTGGCAAAATTCAAAAGCTTGCACATGCATCAAATACATAACACAGCTGCCAACACTTACACTCTGTCACTAGAAGTACTATTCGTAGTTGATGGGATTCACATGCATTACTGCACAGGACATGCCACCAATTCTGTAAGCTGCAATTTTGGTGTGGGAATGTTAGTGTTGGCACATCTGTCTGCTACTGTATGCCTTTCTACTTTACATGTGCAAGCTACAAGATTTTGTAGGGACTGATAAGCTTTTTCACTAGTTTTCAAATGAGACAGTGTAGGATATTCTGTGCGATATTCTCTGCCATAGGAGAAGAGCATTTATGGGGTGACCCATCTACAGCAATGCTGAAACCTTGACTAAAAACTAACAGAAAAAAAAGTTAGTTGTGTATCTTTTACAGGACGTTGCAGAACCAACCCCAGCATTTTCCTTTTTCTGTTGTGGTTTTTCTAGGCAAATTTACGTCCAGTAGTTTGCCATAGCTTTCTAGACGATCCGCTTCTCGATACCACTGTCAAAACCAGTGCAAGGCCCACAGCTGGGATCGAACCCGGCACCCTGGCATTACGAAGTGCGTTTGCAACGCCTAAGCCGCCGATGACTAACAGAAGCAGAAACTAAAAAGAACAAAGACAGACAGACAGACAGACAGACAGAAGGACAGACAGACAGACTCAAGCAACAACCTTTTCAAGATGCTCTTCTCCTTATCATCCTCTATGGCTCCCATTAGCCACAGGACCTCCTTGAGGCCAACATTCTCAGAGATGTGGAAAAACGGAAACAGCTTGGCTGTCTGTATAGTCTGTTGATCGTTCTCCTGAGGATGTTAGCAGTATAACAACTGATTTGTAGAATAAGTTTTATCTGTGCACACAGCAGTTTCTTTCATGATATTCATAAAATGGCAGGTGGCCGGTCTGCGTTTAGTTTGGCTAAATGTCTTATGTACTATTGCATGTGTACAGCCATCTTCTCTTGAGTGGCTACTTCCATCAACAACAGATTGCAATTCTGGCGACTACTGATGTTGGCACCTCTAGCAACTGCTTTATGTATCTGCTGGGTGTTCATGTTTTTGGATTTGGTCAGGACTAATTATTCACTAGTTTTTAAATGGGACAGTGAGAGGCATTTCGTGTGATTTTTTTTTTGGGCACAGGAATGGAACAATTATGGAATTATCCATCTGTAGAGAATTAAAAATCTTTACTACAACAAAGGACTTGGGCAACTTTCACAGAGATGTGAAAATGGAAACAGTTTGACTGTCTTAAGAGTTTGCTGAGTCCCATAGCTCCTTTAAGGATGGTAACAAACATCCGTAGAGGAGGTATGAAACGAATAATACGGATGGTAACAAACAGTATATGAATATAAAAAAAAACATAAATGACCACATCTGAGTTCCATAGCTCTTCTAAGGATGGGAAAAAAATGGTACAAGAATATAAAAAAAATAATAACTGACCACACATGAGTTCCATAGCTCCTCTAAGGATGGTAACAAACAGTACAATAATTAAAAAAAAAACATAACTGACCACATCTGAGTTCCATAGCGCCTCTAAGGATGGTAACAAACAGTACCAGAATATAAAGAACTTAACTGACCACATCTGAGTTCCATAGCTTCTGTAAGGATGGTAACAAACAGTACAAGAATACAAAAAACATAACTGACAACATCTGAGTTCCATAGCTCCTCTAAGGATGGTAACAAACAGTACAAGAATATAAAAACCATAACTGACCACATCTGAATTCCATAGCTCCTCTTTACCAATGCCGGTGCGGTTAAGCATCAACAGCCACGGCTGGTTACAGAAAGTACTCATGCTCTTCCAGCTAGCAGCCTGAGGGAGAAGATCATGGACACATACAATGAACACTCCCCATACATACAATGAACACTTCCCATACATACAATGAACACTTCCCATACATACAACTGATAATGGGGGGGGGGGGGGGCCTCCAGAAACATAATATATTAACTGAACTTCTTCTTCTTCTTCTTCTCTTCCACCTTGTCGCTCACTGAAGTGTCAGGGGGAGATGTAACATTCGTTGGTGAGCTCTGTCAGGAGCACTATTAAGACTGATGTTAATTTCTGTAAGGCTGTTCTTAATGCCATCACTCCATTTTTTCCTAGGTCTTCCACTCGCTCTATACCCGTTGTAACGTTTTAGTTTGGCTCGCTGTGGCATGCTTGTTAGATGTCCAGACCACTTCATTTGTTGTTCTTTGATTAACTAAAAGCTCCATATAAATACCATTATATAAAATACACAGACAGACAATTTACTGACTGGCCTTCGTAGAAAGAAAAAGAAAGGCAGAAGAACACACTAGACAACATAAAAATAGAAAGCTATAATTGTCGTGACAGGAATTGAGCCTGTCACCTCTAAATGGTGGATGCGCCTCGCTGCAGAAACAAGTATACTAAGATACACGGCCTATTTCCTACTGCTCCATAACATTCAGATATAGAAGCTGTGGGATGTAATTTTTGGAACCCCTAATAAAGGTGTCTTCACCTGCCATGTCTTTATTTGCCATGTCTATCACACAAGTGTGAAATCCACAACTATGCAATATGGACAGAATTCATCTCAAACCAGTGAAATAGCAGCATAGATTACATAAATTTATATTAACCAAGCATGGATCGAATAACAAACACATTGTAACACAACAGAACCCACCCATCAAATCTCTTTCTTAAATGTTTGTTGCATTCCTGACAAAGCATTACGGTCTGCTGTGTTAGTAATTGTTCTTGTGTTTGTTACTCAACCTATGCTTGGTTAATATACATTTCTGCCACCTCATGCTCACTGCCTTTACTTCCCAGGAATGTACCTGGTGTACATTTAAAGCTGGGTTGACCTGGCAGCCAAGGTCATTTTTGTTTCTTAAAGTACGGCTCCGTGGGGACCTGAACCTAGGACCTTTCAAACCATAGGTGAGCGTCTGGCCTCTACACCACGGCAGCTTCAGTGACAGTCATGCATGCAGTTTATTTTCATTATGACTATCATCACTATTAGAAACATCCTGCTAAAACTTCTGGTACTTAAAGCTGTGTTGTAGTTTTTTTTTCTAGGCTGTAATAATGAAATCTTTCAGTCCTACACATCCAACTTCGGCAAATCCTTAATCAGTTGCCTTTACAACATGTTAAGAGCCAGTAGACATATTTGTTTTACTTTTAAACCAAAAAAAAGGAGGGGGTGGTGGTGGGAGGGGGGGGGGGGACTACAAGGGAAAGATAACATGTAAGAGCCAGTGTTGGTCAATTCTTTTCTTGTAAACCTAAAAATGGGGCCCTCGGACCCACATTGGGAAGATAACATGTAAAAGACAGTGTGGGTCTCTTCATTTCTTTTAAACCTCAAAATGGGGCCCTGGACCCCACATTGGGAAGACGACATGTAAGAAACAGTGTGGGTCTATTCTTTTGTTTTCACTCCCAAATGGACCCCCCACCCCCCCACACACCCCCCCACACACACATGGAAGATGACATTGAGAGCCAGTGGGTACATTCTTTTGTTTTCACCTCAACACGGAGACCTTGGAAGATGACACACACTATACCTGAATGTCATCATAGCGCCCATGAACCGTGACCATGTAGCGGGTCATCCCCAGTGTCTTCAGGTGAATGTTGAAACCCTGGACAACCATACTGTCCGGAAACTCAATGCCCTTGGATTTGTTCTGAAACACACATGTTCAACAAACTGGGTGAAGATTAAATTTTAAATTGGGGTGTTTTAACCCTTTTGCTCCAAGAACACTAAACAAAAATTACCCAGTTAGAAAAACTGCCAATAACTGCCTTTTTATCATACCACTTTTGTGGTGTAGGTGGGGGAGGTGGGGGGAGTCTTTGAGACTGAGGATTTAAGGCCGCATGGCTAGTGCTGTCGACACGAGAGAAAAAAAATCTGTTCAGCCAATAAAAAATCTGTTTATAATAACTTGTATTTATCTACACTTGTAAATTTTTTCAAAATATATAACGATATATGGAAGGAGCAATCAATCAATAACCATGAATAAATTGAAGCATTAAATGGAATAAATCTGCCTGGGCCTAAAAAAAAAAAACACACATATGTATCAGGTAACTCATGATGTGACCTGGTGATATCCATCATTGAGGCTGTACACCTTAGGATTGGAACAGGCAGACAGACTGGCTGGATCTGCACCACAGGGTGGTGAATTGATACATGACAAGACAGATGTGGTCAAGGCCCTTTGGGAACAAGCAACGGAATCAACTGAGAGAAGATTATTATGCTCTGGAGAAAATGAGGCACCTGTGTGTAACCAGAGGGCCTGGCCAGCTCACTAAACTCAGAGGAAAGGCAAGACAGACATATAACCAGATTGTGACTCAACTCAACTCAACTCAACCTTAGGATACAAGAGGAAGACAATATCATAAAGTGCTCCTGTACCAAAGGAAGAAAAAGGAAGACAATATCATAAAGTGCTCCTGTACCAAAGGAAGAAAAAGGAAGACAATATCATAAAGTGCTCCTGTACCAAAGGAAGAAAAAGGAAGACAATATCATAAAGTGCTCCTGTACCAAAGGAAGAAAAAGGAAAACAATATCATAAAGTGCTCCGGTACCAAAGGAAGAAAAAGGAAGACAATATCATAAAGTGCTCCGGTACCAAAGGAAGAAAAGGGAAGACAATATCATAAAGTGCTCCAGTACCAAAGGAAGAAAAAGGAAGACAATATCATAAAGTGCTCCTGTACCAAAGGAAGAAAAAGGAAGACAATATCATAAATTGCTCCTGTACCAAAGGAAGAAAAAGGAAGACAATATCATAAAGTGCTCCTGTACCAAAGGAAGAAAAAGGAAGACAATATCATAAAGTGCTCCGGTACCAAAGGAAGAAAAAGGAAGACAATATCATAAAGTGCTCCGGTACCAAAGGAAGAAAAAGGTAGACAATATCATAAAGTGCTCCTGTACCAAAGGAAGAAAAAGGAAGACAATATCATAAAGTGCTCCTGTACCAAAGGAAGAAAAAGGAAGACAATATCATAAAGTGCTCCTGTACCAAAGGAAGAAAAAAGAAGACAATATCATAAAGTGCTCCTGTACCAAAGGAAGAAAAAGGAAGACAATATCATAAAGTGCTCCTGTACCAAAGGAAGAAAAAGGAAGACTCCATACTGAGTCTTGACGTGGTTCCAAAATAAAGGAGAGAAGAATCAGACAACATCGTAAGGCACATCTGCACCCTAGGAAACAAGTAAAAGGACCCTTTTCCACACCTTCAGATGTACTGGGCATATAGGGCTAGACCAGTGTTTCCCAACCTTTGTGGTGCAATGCCCCACCTACGCTTATCTAAACTTCTTATGTCCTCTAGGTAGCATATACATATTTTTTAATGTTCAAAAACTGAATTGTTCATATTTATTACAAGCCTATTTCCTACTGCTCCATAACATTCAGATATAGAAGCTGTGGGATGTAATTTCTGGGTGCTTTATTAATATCCTACCTCAAACAGGGGAAATCCACAGGACAGTCCAAAATTTCAGGGGGTGGTAGATAGGCTGCATGCAGTCGTGGGACCTAGGCTGCATGCATTCGTGGGAATTAGGCTGCACATAGGTGGGTTAGGGTTAGGGCCAGTTATAGTTGTTTTGGGGTCGTTAAAAGCACCAGAAACCCTGTCCTACCACCCTCTAAAATGTTGACGTAATCTAGGAGAGGATATTAATAAAGAACCAATTTTTGTTATTTGGTCAACATCACTTGGTGAATGATGTGGTCAACATCACTTGGTGAATGATGTGGTCAACATCACTTGGTGAATGATGTGGTCAACATCACTTGGTGAATGATGTGGTCAACATCACTTGGTGAATGATGTGGTCAACATCACTTGGTGAATGATGTGGTCAACATCACTTGGTGAAATGATGTGGTCAACATCACTTGGTGAATGATGTGGTCAACATCACTTGGTGAATGATGTGGTCAACATCACTTGGTGAATGATGTGGTCAACATCACTTGGTGAATGATGTGGTCAACATCACTTGGTGAATGATGTGGTCAACATCACTTGGTGAATGATGTGGTCAACATCACTTGGTGAATGATGTGGTCAACATCATTTGGTGAATGATGTGGTCAACATCACTTGGTGAATGATGTGGTCAACATCACTTGGTGAATGATGTGGTCAACATCACTTGGTGAATGATGTGGTTAACATCACTTGGTGAATGATGTGGTCAACATCACTTCCCAGGACTTACTTTACCAGATCCCCTGGTCACTCCCTGCTGTACCATTCTCTCCAGAACATAATGATCTTTTGCCATTAGCACTCCGTCCTTATCTTCAGCAGCCAGCAAAGAGTTCCAGATCTGACATTCGCAGTAGCAGTTCGATTATATGTCCATCTTGCCTCTCCTCTGAGTGTAGACTGTCGATCAGATCCCCTGGTCACTCCCAGCTGCACCATTCTCTCTAGAACATAATGATCTTTTGCCATAAGCACTCCGTCTTTATCTTCAGCAGCCAGCAAAGAGTTCCGGTTCCGACAGTACCAGTAACAGTCTGATTATATATCTTGCCTTTCCTCTGAGTGTAGAGCATTAAGCAGATCCCCTGGTCACTCCCAGCTCTACCATTCTCTCTAGAACATAATTATCTATTCATGCCTCCACATTGTTCACTTACTCCCACACCTTGATTGTAATGCAGTTAAAATGCAAGAAATTACAATGACCGGCCGAATACCAGAGAAAAGATGTTACCTTTGAAGACTCCACATGAATCCCTTACCTTTGAAGACTCCACATGAATCCCTCACCTTTGAAGACTCCACATGAATCCCTCACCTTTGAAGACTCCACATGAATCCCTTACCTTTGAAGACTCCACATGAATCCCTTACCTTTGAAGACTCCACATGAAGCCCTGAGAGAAATGAGTCCTTGCCCACGCTGATGTTGCCACTCAGATCACAGTGTGACACGAGTGTGCGACCGTTGACCACAACATCACCAGACAGAACAGAGTTGATGACCACACTGTCTTCATTGACTTTGCATGTTTTCTGAAATAATAATAATCATCATCATCATTGTCGTCGTCATTATCACCGTCATCATCATCTTATCTCATAACATAATCTGGTTATAAAGTCTGAAGGTTAGTGATGAAGTCACTCTGTGCCAATTGTTACTATAAAATTATTTATAACATCTATTGTTAATAGACTCCCACTCAGTCTTTGAAGAAGAAGAACTGAGCTTTCGAACTGAAATGCTTAGGAAAATTTCTTAGAATACAACAGATCAAAAAGAAAAAAAACATCTACATCCTGAAAGACTTGAACATCAAGGAGAATTGGCTCATGAATTATCATTCTAAAGATAAATATTATTTAATAGCCCATTTATGTATCTTCAAAATAATAATTCTTTCAATAACACGTTGCAAATTAATTAAACTGTAGTTCAATCTAAGTATAAATCTACGTGATAACAACTGTTACATCCGACCGGCCACGTCAGCCTCACAAAAACGGAAATTCCCGTTTGAGCTGTATGGCCTTATATCTGGAGCTGGCCGTGCAACTAACATACCTCCATTTCTACGTGTGCCTTGCTGGTCCAGCTGAAGCCCAGTCCATTGGTCTGAGGGAAGCTGAGCAACAGCTTCTTGTGTTCTGTGGCAGTGTGAGTCAGGTAGTTGTATTTGCCACCTTCAATCACACCTGAAGAGAATATGCAGGTGAAAATAGGTACAGGTAAAAGAAAGGGTTTTGATAAAGAATAAAGATAAAGGGGTAATGGTAGAAAAGGAAAGGTACAGATACATATAAATGTTATATAATAACAGTAGATCCATCCATCTATCTATAAATCAGTTTGTCTGCCTGTCTGTCAAATCCATCCATTGATCCATCCATCCATCCATCCATCGATCCATCGATCGATCGATCCATCGATCGATCGATCCATCCATCCATCCATCCATCCATCCATTCATCTATCTATCTATCTATCTATCTATCTATCTATCTATCTATCTATCTATCTATCTATCTATCTATCTATCTATCTATCTATCTATGTATAAATCAGTCTGTGTCTGTCTGCTCGCCTGCCTGCTTGTATCTGTCTGTCTATTTATCAATCTACCTATCTTTTTTTCTCATCATTCGCCTGAGTGACATAATTGTGTCATACCTCTTTTCATCACAGATTTGACATTTGCCCTTTTCTTATACATGGAAACATATGGTACCTACATACATGCATACTTATAGGGGGCAGTTGGAGTAGAAAAGTACCCTACCGGCGCAAAATTTGGAGTTAAAAATCCAGCCAGAGTATTTCAGGATCCTCATGGTGCTACAGAGCCTGTGCACTATGCTGAGCTTCTTCGGATTCAGACTTAAGTTAGAAGAAGAACGGAACACTTATGGGCTACTACCCCTGTGACATGATGTTGATCCCTTGTTCAAATCTCAAATGCATACATATATAATAAGCTGCTCATAAGAATAAAGAAAACATCATGCAAATGTGCAAAAACCAAATGATAGCACATCAAACAAACTGACAGACTATTCAAAGACTGTTCTAGCCACACTTACAAGCCCTCACACAAAAACCAAATGATAGAACA